AATATTTTGAATACCACACATCACAATTAATACACATTGGACAAGAATGAATTCACAGCATGTTGCCTGACCTGCATGCATTCAGGTATGTTGAAATAGCTGTTTCCATATAATGTGATGGATATGGTCTTTGCAAGCTAGCTAAGAATGCTGAAATTGCAGCCATTTCCTGTGAAATACAAAAACATCAATAATTCATAAATCAATCAATAATCAAGATAAGGATAAAATGAATGAATGAATAGAGAAACTGTATTGCTATCTTAATAAAAGCAATGGGGAATAGTACATGTATACTAACTAGATTAGATGTTAAAGTATGGAAAAAAACATTGTGATTGTTTAATTCTCAAGAGATCATTCATCTGTATTCTAGGGCACATTTGCAAAAAAGCTACAACAATTGTTATGCAGTGACTGTATTCAATGTTCAATTCAATGTGAATCCTGGGTGAGGCTATGTGCTGTAAKCTGTACCATTGCACAGTCAATGAAATCTGCTYTCTCTATATATRTTTAGTGAAATGAGCCTGGTTTTACAAGTCTTGGATTTGACAGTCAGTTTGTTTAGTGAACATCCACACAGATAATGCTTAATAATGACTGTGTCATAACATTAAAAGAATTCCTACACATGTAACTTACTAATGCTCCRGCAAAATAGAACCATGCATGCTCATTGTTGAAGTCTCTCTTTGCTGTGTGATAGCAGCTGTATGCCAGCTCATAGTTYTGCACCAGAAATGCAAGGTCACCCAGCTTTCTGTGATAAAGCTCAGGGGCATCATTGGTATAGCTAAAATACAAACAACCTGTAGATTAGGACTTTGACAACAAGATAAAATATTCATAAGAATTATTGTATAATTGTAAGAGAATTATTGACTAAAAAAATTGACTGTCTAGAGTTCTATTTTACCTATTAATAATGTATCCATATTATAAATAATTCCTAGTTGTCGCATTAAGAAAATAATTGGACAGGTACCTATTTAAAAGGATTAATAAGTGGATATATAATGCTTGTGACCCATAATGACTCGTTTACACGTATGGTTACTTTTCAGAACAGCCACCTATTTCCAAATTTTATGTAACCCCTGTAYTGTGCCAACTAWCAGGAAMTGAGCAACMAAAASTACATTTCTCACTCATTAGCTTTACCATGAATAGAATTGAAAAGCATTTGTAATGATAATTTAGGTACAATATACAATGCAGCATTGATTGGTTGAAATGTGCAAAAAMCTTTGTYTKTATAATAATATAGAAACACAGCTTTCAAACCAAGAGTTGTTCTTACTTTATAAAAGCATTATGAATATTTTGTTTCCTGTTCAGTTAGAAAAACATTTCTTGTTCTCCCAACAATCTTGAGTGTTTCTAACTGAGGATGTGTATTATAGACATTCAAGGTATTCAACCTGTACTTATTTTAGAATCAACACTGAACTTACATAATTCCTGGAACAAGACCAGAAGCAAGACCTGCAGGCTTTCCTCCTCCAAACCACTTTTTAGTGGCAGAGAATATTGATCTATGAAGACCTTTCCTTGCCATTATCTATAATAACAAATATTTTCATCTMATTGAAATCACTGTTACAGTACTAAATTTTGTTTACTTTGATTCAGGTAAGGATGGATTAACAACAGCTCATCCAGTATTGCATTGATTCCATCATATCTGTACCTGTACTTACCTCTTCACTCTGACAAAGGATTAACGTCCGAAACGTCAGTAAGTTATTTCACCTACTTTTTTACGGTGTTAAATTTATAGTTTTACATAACTGTTTCTAGAAACACTGACACAGATCACACTAGTTTACTGCTAGTAGCCATCATTCTTACCTGCTATAACAAGCTAGAATCTAAGAACCTGTTTAACTAGCCTAAAAATATCAATCTAGACACCCTTGACATAAGAACTTAATCAACCTAAAGTTTGGAACAGGATCTCTAGGTTCCACATTCACAAGGCCAATGATAACAAACATAGGTCACAGCCCTGTCTAATGGCCAYGTCAGATTTGGCATCAMATTAAGATATATGATGTCYTCTTACTGGCCTCTATTATGTCTTCTTATTATAGCCTAAAGGCCCGTTTAAACTGTCGATTTTGATCCTCGAGAATAGTCAGTGGTAAAGAATCAACTTCTAATCAGGACACTGAGATGAGATAACTAAGCATCTCCTCAGAAGGACAAGATTGATCTATTATACTTTTGAAAATCACCCGGAAATAATCACCACAAAAATCGTCAGTGTAAACGGTCCTTAAAATTCCATTAAGCACCATTTACATACTAGACATACATACTTGATCATAAAGGTGTTTCATCATCCTTTCAACATATGGTAGAAGACCTCTGAATGCCAACTCATGGATAAAAATTTTAATTCTGTCTTGATCACTTAGGCTGAGACATAATCCATGTGAWCGCTGTGTCACCTGACTTCTTATGGCACTGGTGAACTTCCTTGTAGAGAAGTACCTGAACTGACCTGCCAAATGCTTTTTCTCATGTGCATTTGACAACTCTGCATTTCCTTTCATKGGGAGGTCATTGAGTTGAGACTCTGATTCAGRATCATCTTCAAATGTCAATGGACCAATCAGCATTGAGCCTGAGCCAGAGCGGGTCTTTAATTCTTCATTATCATTGATGGCAGCCTCAGGGTCAAAGTTTTCATCAACAGCACAATTAATAGGATCTTCTTCTGATGTCTCTGGACTACCATCAATACTGTCATCCCAGTCCTGGAATCAAACCAGACTAATATTTTATACAAACTATATCTTACAATTTGTTACAATTTTAATATTCCATTTTGAATAGTATTAGAGTATATCTTACCAAAGTTTCTTCACTAGCTGGTATAATAAACTGACTCCAAGGGTCTGGCAGATTTGGAACTTGCAGAGCAGCTGTTGGATTAACTGAGTTTACCATCAACATRTGGCATGCATGGAGACCATAGACAGATTTCATGCTCTGATATATAGCCTCTGCCCTGAAACAAGTTACCTCTGTTAAAAATATAACATATGAAAAGACTGGATATTGTTGGATATTATTGTTGTAGTGCCCATGCCTTTGATATTAACACTGTCATTAGTAAATATGAGAATGTGTTAAACTATCACAAAAATGTATTTCTCTTGTAAAGRACGAGTGTAGCGAGTGGAGAGTGTGAGAGAAATAATTTCCTTAGCGACGTAAGGAYTGGGCACTATTGCAAATCAGAGAATGTGTTATATCTTCAACTATGATATAAACATGTTAATCATGAAATACCTATTGGTAAAACATACAGATTTCTCCAGGATGTCCCAGTTGGAATTACTGATAGGATAYCTCTAAGCCAGCCATACAATGTATTGGAGAAACTTGAGTTACATATACTACTCAAGCTACTGTACATGTACAGTACTGGACTCAAGTAAAGTACCATCCATTCGCTCTATACTCGAGAGTGTGATTATCGAGTGAGTCATGCATGACAAATTATTCATGAAACTGAGTGTAATCGAGTGGCTTCCACTCAAAAGGCTTTCGAGTCTCGAGTGTAGTTATGAACAATTTCTGTTGAACTGAACGAGTAATGAAAATATGTTAATTTTAAATTCTAATTGGTTGCTTTTATTAGCGAATGATCGGCAAGATGTCAATTCAATGTCATAAATTTAGGTTACACTGCAATTGTTACTTTTTAAGTTTTATTCCATAATTCAGTATTTTTTGTCATTATCAAAGCATACATTTTATCAATTTCTGCAATATATCATTATGTTCTTCAAACTCCGTAACAACCTGTGAATAACATTTCTAAAATGAAAGCATGAGTAGTCTCTTTTATCTCATGATCATGATCGAAGCTGATTGAAATAATTAGTTGTTTTGGCAACTAGCCAAAACAGAACAAACTTGTTCGGACACTGTGGCTTCTCCTGACAAAGTTCTTATTTAACCCACTTCAGCTTAATCGTAATGAAGGACAGTATCATCTTAATTTGTAGCTTCAAGAATCCTGTACGATTATCCAGATGATGCGAAACAGGTTCAAAAGCTGTGTTGACATGAGCGGCACAGGAAAGGCGAAATTTTAGTCTCAAAACAAGCGTGAAAGATCTTCATGTAGATTCACGCAGTTTGCTTACATTTAGTATGGCTAACTTAATGCAGGTAATCATTAAATGTAAGCTCATTTTTGCCTCAAATTACAAGAACCATATAAAGGCAAAATTATTATAACTGCAGACAAACTATTCTGTAAACTTTCATGTGAATTTGATTCCATAATTTAAGTTTGAATTGATCCACTGAAACACTCTAGAATCTCAAGCACAGAGTGAAAGGGAGTGCTATTATCCGTCATTGTTCACTCCATACTCGAACTCGCAATCCATATCGAGTTTGAGTACTCGAAAATGGATGGTACTTTACTTGAGTCCGGTACTGTACATGTAGATCTCACACTACACCACTGACTAGTTGGTACTTACTTGGACTCAACACCATCACAGACATCATGTAGAAGAACATAGTATCTAAATATACCA